ATATATATATATATATATATATACACACATACACATACATATACCAAATACACACACCCACACACACACACACGCACAAATATACCTTTCATTATATATATATATATATATTCGTTTATTAGATCAAATGATGGCTTTAATCAAACGTACTGTTCTTCCATGCTATACTTTCTCACAATCCAGTAAAGATGGTGGTTAAGGATTAGGAATTTGGTTCCTAGGTAGAGAGAGGATCCAATGCTTTCATCACACAGCCAAAGGCAGCATCGTTCTCAGGATACAAACTCCATCTCTTTGGTTCAGGTGTACAACAATGACACGCACACAAAAAGGGCGGAGCTCCCACTGCAACAGTGCAAGGCTGCTTTCATCGTTGATCCACCTTGACCCCACTGACCCTGCAGACACCTTGGCCAGCGGGGTCATGTTCTCCACTTTGGGGTCCTGCTCTCACGCTTGAGGAAAGAACGGAAGGACATCTGCTGAGAGAATCCCGGGCTAAGCCATGGGCTTCTCTACAGTTACCTTAAACTCATGCAAGCTCCATTCTCCCTCGCTTTTGAAGTTGGAATGCAATAGTTTATGGCAATCATATTTTGGCAAAGAAATTGCAGCCACTGAGTGAAGTTTCTTCAGCGAAGCTAGGTTGATAGGGAATCTGACTGGTGGGATGTGTCTCTCTTAAGACTGTGAACAGAGTATATGTCAAAGATAAAGAAAGTGGAAATGAATGCGCTGTGTTCTGCAAAAGGTAGAACCTAAACAGTATATTTTCTACTAAGTCAGAAGCCTCCATCCTCCATTTATAGGGTAGACATCTCCAGAGGATTCTGGAATTGTGACTACTACTTAACAATTGGTGTATGAATCTATTCAAAAATGTAAAAAGGCATACAGAAATTAGGCTCCATAGGAGAAAATAATTATATTGTCTCACTGGATTCTTTGCTCTTAGCATATTGTGCTGACTCAGTCATTGATCATCACTAGTCCAGCAGAGCCAGCCAACTGAGCCAGCCAATTCTGGTTTAGTTGACAAACAAACTATGGCTCAGCAGCATATATGAACTAAGTATTTGAATCATGTGATGTCCATGTTGATGACATTCTCTATGCTCTTCTGCTGCATAGAATCTGTCACCGAAGGTTTGGCATTTTTCTGGTAGCTGTGAAGTCCCAAATCATTCTCTTACCATTAGTGAAATTTAGGATAAAGGAACCATAAACTATTCACTGGAGAAGAATGAACAGGCCCGACACACAAAAGAAGCTGAAGTGTCTAGAGACAACAAATGTGAATTATACAAGAAATATATCACCAGATCCACTTTGTAAATTCTCTAAAACTGCTGAAGGGCTACTTTTACATCTTCGATTCATGAAAAAGAAAAAAAAAACCCACCAAAAACAAAAAGGAGTTCTCCTCCAAAGAAAAGCAGTCCTAATCTTGAAAACCTTAAAAGTAAAGCACCTCTTAAAGACAAGTGGGCCTTCCATTGTGAGGGGAGTTTTAATTTTAAACTGTTTTATCCTCTCATATATGCATACCATCTGGGGATGATTGCCATCCTTAAAGACAAACTATGTTTTTAATAACAACAGTAATTTAAAAATTAAGTATATTGAATGAAATATACTTTCTGCCCAGAAAAAAAAATTGCAAACTTCTGCCAAACATCTTTCATGAAGTATCTAACTCCATATTAACTTTTATGCATTTTTTCTCCTACTCAAACTTTTATACTGAAGGATAGGACAACTACAAGTAGTCCTTGTTTAGTGACAGCCTCATTTATTGACCATTCACAGTTATGACGGTGATGAAAAAGTTAACTTTGTGACCAATCCAGACCCTCACAGGTCTGTAAAGCGAAGGAAAGCTGAAGTCAGATCATAAGCATAGTCGCAGCTTCACTTAGTGACTGCTTTGCTTAACAACTGAGTGGCCAGTCCCATTTGTGTTTGCTAAACAAGGACTACTTGTATTATAATTTTAGAGATGGATAATCAAAGAAATCATACCAACTTCTGAATAATATCAGGGAATCAAACGCAAACATTTCAGATCTTAAGAGTAACCCCTGATCTCACTTTCTGATGAATATCTTGTTTAGCAACCCAGATTTACTGTAAGACTCCTATAACAATGTCAGACAGCAGGCTAGAAATTACAGTCCTTGTTCTCCTTTCCCACAACGCATACAGAAGCAGGCAGAGTTTGATGTGGAAAACAGAAGAAGTTATTGTTAAGGATCCTGTAATAATTCCACTTGAACTTGGAAAGCAAACTCAGAACTTCTGAAAAGAAAATATAAAAAAAACCTCTACTCATGGTGAAAGAGAACGGTCTCTTTAAGATGTTCTCGGTCAAAGAATATGCCAAGCATGCATTTCTAATATCTGGGTGGGCAAACACAAATGGAAATTTAAATTCTATAGAGATGCAGGGAATGTGTTTCAGAAATGTTTCCACTTGGCAGTCTCTGAAGTATGAAAGTATGGTCAACCTGAAAGGAATGAGAAAATGTTGGGCGGATTGTAGCCAGCTTGAAGCATTGTATTGTGTAGCCATGTGCTTCTATGGTGCTAACAATAATGAACCAATGGGAGTGCTACTCTTAGTTGCCTGACCAAGGCTAATGGCCCTTTAAGGTGACCAGAAGCTTGCTCAAAAATTCCACCCCAAAAGCAACATTTCTGGGAACAACATTGAATACATCCAGGAAGCAAGGCAGTGGTAGAAATTTGGGAGGGTTTAGCAGAGCCCTGAAGTCCGTTTGCACTACATCTAAAGGCAAAGCTTGCTGGGGGTCAAAAACTGGTGAGGCTGGTAGTTCCCAAAGGTTTCGATATATGGTTTACAGGTGGGCTAGAATTCCATGCAAAACCAAAACCACGGGAGCGATGCAACTCCATGTTATGAGAAAAAGACTGCAAAGGTGCTTTTGTCTTTTCAAACGGGCTTGACGTGTTTCAAACCCCACAAGTTCTTTTTTAACAAAATGTCCCCCTCTCTAAGAGAACGGCATTATCTTTTCTCATTTGATTTATGTCTCTTACAAAAGATCTTTCTGGATCTTCTCCTCTTTTGTTTGCTTAGAAAATGCGTACTGTGATGGTAGAGCCATAAATATTGAAAAATAAGGTAGAGGAAAATTTCCACACAAATTACAGCCATCAGTGGGAGTAAAGATAGATAAAGACTCCCTTTGGCTGAGCTTGAACCTGTGGTGGCTACAGCATGGAGGGGGCTTGCTAGTTTCTTCTCCCAGGATGATTGGGTGTGGGGTGTGGGGTTGGACTTTCCAGACTACCCTACAGTCCTGGTATTCATCTCTCATTCAAGTACTGATCAGGTTGTATCTGCTTTGCTTCCAAACCTAGATAACTTCAGCCAGGTGCTTCTTCAGACAACGATGGCTGATTGTGCAAGTCCAAATATTAACCAAGTCTATCTTGCCAAGATCAGCCAAGGTTGGCTAGCTGTACTTCTCCAAGGAACTGATGTAATTTAAATCAATTAATGGAAACAAAAGCAGTTTAATGTAGTATGAGTAACATCATTCCAATACTCCAAGCCAGTTTCTATTAAATAAAAGACATTTTAGCACAGTTTCTAAATGTCTGTCCTATGGATGAAGGGAAGCAATCAACGTGAAGATTGTCTCTTTCGTACTGTTTCTGACCAAATAGCAAACGAATGTTTTAGCAGACAAAAAATGTCACTGGGTAGCGAATAGTTATCTCTGCTTGGGATAGGGTTTGGTAGCTGATGAGCCAAAACGTCTATTACTAGACAGTAGAAAAACACTGTTGGAGGTTCCTAGCCATTGGCACTGATTCTTCAGTGCTTCAAACTCTACTGATCAAAAGGGGGCAGTAGGACCTAGAGAGAGACTTTGCTCTGTGCCCCCTCTTTGTCCATCCCTCTGCCTTCTCTTTCTTTAAGAGATTGCTAATCTAAGGGCAATTCCTTCTGCCTTTCTTCCCAGGCACACTTGCACAGACCACATACTCTTGGACTCCTCCTGGAAAGATGTTGTTAGTTAGGTGCTGGGCTTTGCCTATCCCTATAATGCAGTTCCTTTAAATAAATCTCCTTTCTGTTGTGGTTATAAACCTCCATAAGTAATCATTGGTCAGGTCAGATTCCTGCTCCCAGGATGATGAAGATGATGATGATGATGATGGAATTGAGAGCATGTCACTCTTGAATAATAGCTACCATGGGGCATAGGGCTTGCCTGTTCATAAAATGGCTACCACATAAGACATGGTTGAACTGCAAATGCACTTACTAGAAGGAAGATTGGTGACTTGCTCCAAACACCTCTTCTAGCTCATATGATGCTTCCTTTCAGCCCCAGCTCACTTTTGTCTTTTTTTTTCTAGGTAGGTACCCACAGACACAATGATGCCCATGAAGACTTCACATATAAATGTTTCTTCTGGGGCTCAAAGGTGATCTTTGTCATATACATATACCCAGAGAAAAACATTTCTGATATCTGCAATGAGCTTTTTACCTGGACTGGCAGGGGTGGACATTACATCTTCTGACCTGTGGCTCAGGACGGGTTACCCGCTGGCAAGCGCTGTCATTCACCAGCATCATGGTCTTGTTAACAATCTGTGTGCACGACACAATGGTTTTCCGTTCTCCTGAATGCCAAAGAAAGGAGGAAAGTGTCATTCCGGTATGGGAAATCTATTTACTGAAATATTTATCTGCTGCTGTTTTGAAATACAACTGGATTTCAGAAATATTCGTGCAGCAGAAAACAGGGTAGCGGAATCCTGCTCGGCTGTAAGTGGATTCTCAGCGTTTTCAAAAATTGCTACTTTGCAAAGTAGCATCTTAGGAACCTGAAGCAAAAACGCATCATATGACAGACTTCTTGGCAGGCAAATCTAATTTTGCTTCTCCCATGATTAGGTAGTTATGGAGCAGTCTTGGGAGCCTTTCAATTCTACTTAGGCAGAAGGGAGCTTTCATTATCTCCTGCTCATGGCCTTGAATTTCTGATTCTTCTCCAGATGAGTTTCTCTCTGCAGTGATGGAAAACCTTTGATCATCACTCCTCCCAGATAAGTCAATTCAAGAGCAGAAAAAACAACTTTGCATAGTTTCATGCTGAGTTCAAATGCTGAGATTTCCAGTTAAAAAGATCTCAGGTTGCTAGATCAGAAAACACTTCTTTGTCCAGGCTTCTTGGAGTCTCCACCAGATATGATAGTTGAAAGGGATTCAGCAGGCCAGGATGTCAACCCTTGGACTATCTAGGGGCTCAACCTATGGTTCACAGGAGGTCAGTAACAATTGCCTTGGTTGTGGGCAATTTTCCTCTTTGCTTCCAGGAATGGCCCAGCAGGTATTTGGGGATGCTGAAAAAAACAGGCTGCCATTAAGCAAAACCACATTTGCTACTATGTTGTTGTGATGGTGGCCGCCCCATCCCAAAGCATCACCATTTCTGAATCAGTATTAGAAACAAAGTCGGAAGTCATGTTTGGCTTGCTGCCAATGGAAGCAACATTTTCAGAGTCCAGGGCAGTTGTGAGCTTTGCCTCAGCAGTTGTTGCCCTTGCATGAGGACATCACAGGGTGCAACCACACAAAATCCTCACCCTGGCCCAAAGACACAACAGCAACCCTTCCTTGAGCAAGTATCCATAGATCTCCACCTGTAACTTGAGGTCAACCAGAAGCTAAGGCAGCCTGAAGGCAGGTTTGGGTGACTTGTTATTCAACCTTACTGCAACTTGAGTCACTCCATGGGGGTGCACTGATGCATTTGGGGGAGGTCATGATCTATTCTGCATCAGTGATTCTATGGCTCCTTTTAATTTTGCTGCTGTGGTCCTGAACCACTCATTCCCTCTGGTTCCTGACCACTGCACCTGCTGTTCCTCCTTGTCTTGCGTGCATGGCAGACTGCATAACTGAGGTATCATTCTCCCTCTCCAGTTAGAACATCAACAGTTGGCCGCAATTCCTAAGCCATTTCCCGAGAGAGAGAGAGAGGGAGAGAGAGAGAGAGATCAAAATCATAAAGCAGTTAGTATGCTAACTGGCAACGGTCTCACATCAGCCAGGACTCAGAAACCAAGTGCCAATCCCTTGCTCTGATGCACACTTTGGGTGTACGGTCAACAGCACAGAGCACATTCGCTGTGTGCGTGCAGCATAAGGCAAGATTTAGGGCAGGTTGGGTATGCTGGTTCCAGCACAGGACGATGGCTGGAAGGGGTTACTTACACAACCTCCTTCTCCATTTGAACACATTCACAGCAAAGGGAAGCCATCTCTTCTCTGGATCACTGAACTCCTCTTGAACTATTGTTGTTAGGAATTTTCTTCAAACATTCAATCAAAATCTGCATTCCTCTATCTTATTATTTTTATTTATTTATTTATCGTATTTAGAGGGCTGCCCACCTCACACAAAGTGGCTCTAGGCAGCGTATATAGCATAGTCATTAATCTATTATATTATTAATTGCTATCTTAATATAGTCATTCATTAATCTAGTACAGGAGGTTATCCAGTCAAAACTTGAAGATGAAGTTAGTCTGAGAAGCTACGTCCTTCAGAAAATTCATGCTGACCTCTGATAAATACTGAAGTGTTTTCCAAGGGCTTAAAGTAGTTATATTGGGGTTGACAGATCTGTATCCTAGGCTTGCTATGCAGCAGCTTATGTTCTACCATTTTGTATGTTCTTTCTTGTTCTGATTTATATCTGCCACTACTCAAAGACTCTCAGTGCTTCTAACCAGCAGCTGCTAGTCACTAGAGGCAACATTTAAGAAGATGGACCAGTCCAAGTAGCTTCCGGGGCTGCTAATTTACCAACTATATGCAACCCGGTTAGAACAGTTGAGAGAATGCTGGTAAAACATCTTTGCTCTCTCCAAGCCTGTTTTCTCCCAAAGGAAAAGCTTGGAGAAATATTATTAGCAGTAGCACAAGTTAGGATATCCTGCAAGAAACTAATATCTGCTCCAGTGCCAATTTTGTATCTGATACCATATACTATGAGATCTGCCATGGCTCAGATACTGAACAGTAGAATGACTGTCTCAAAAGCTGTAGTCTGGAACGAAACTTGTATACACTGTTATTCCTAGCAACCCAGATCTATTTTGTTGTATTTTACAATGAAAGTCATCTCAAGAATTCCAGCTAGTAGGTGGGGGTACCAACACTCTAGAAAAATAAGTGAATTTTACCTCCTCCACACTGCACGTTGCAACCTTCCCAGCCACTGTGCGTCCATATGTAGAGGGAGTCCTGCTGATGTTCTGGCTCACTTCTGTTTTCAGTAGAGTAATTCACAGGGATGGTATATTCATAATGTATCCCATAGTTCTGGTCATGGAATAACAGCACCTGGTTGAAGGAACAGATATTTGGGCAGGGTGACGAAGAGATCTCAACATCAAAATGCTTGAAATGGTTGAAACTGTTAGGAGATTAAGAGTCCTGAGAGAAAGATAAATAATAGCAATGCATTTCTGAAGCTCTGAGGTCAAAAATCCACCTTTCAGACGAAAACAGCTAAAAATTGGAGATGCGAGTGTTTCCTGGAAAAAAAAACTTTCCACAAAAATCTTGCAATCTGGACTTAATTTGAAGTTATTGTTTATTGGTTTCGCTGTCTGTAAGAGTCTGGGCCATGTGTTCAATTAGACCCAAGGCAGGGTGGCATATACTAGAACAAGTCCATCTGTCCAGATACTCCAAAAAGCCAAGACAATTTTAGAAGTCAAAGTCTGTTGAATATGGTTCTAGTTCTCCTAAGTGTGTGAGCTAAACATGCAAGAGGAATTTCAGGGAATGGTCACAAAATGAAAGGGTAGCCAAACAGAATTCAACCTAAGATCTAAGCCAGTAATATCATTATTGTAAAGACCAAGTCCTGAGATTTCCCAGGAGGTTTAATAAATATTGGCTTAGAAGGTGGCATCCTTGGTTGGGTTCAGAAGCTAAGTAGGATCAGAGCTGGTTAGTACTTGGATGGAAGATGAGCAGAGAATACCAGCACAGGGAGGTTGAAAAACATCACAGAAGGAGGCAATAGCAAAGCACTTCCATACTGATGCTAAGGAGACTACATGGATATGTCTATGAAGTCATCTGGAGTTGACCTTGACTCAAAGAAGATGTTCATTTTACTAAGTATTGCCAGCAAACAGTCTAGTTGCAACTGGACAGTAAGTGGCAGGCTGGGTCATGATGTACACAGCAACAAGTCTGAAAGATCAAAGTTTATGCAGAAATGCACATATTAAATCAGCTTTTTAGTACATTCACATACCTATCTCTCTTCAGGCTAAGGCAGAAAAAGCTAAGATTTCTCTCAGTGGGAGGAGTCAATGTGAGCTCAGTTGCTTTGCTTTGTTTTTATATTTCTTTGAAAACTAATTGCACTGTATTTTGAAATAATACTGTAACCTCCCTCAAAAACAAAGCAAATAGCAGCATGTAATCAAATAAATACAAGCCAGAATCTTTGACTATGCAGCTGGGAACGCTGAGATAGCATATTCCGAAGGTAACAGTTCCCCAACCCTGTTCTTGTTCCACCTCCCATCCATTGGGAGGGGCACTCACTGACCTTTAGCAAGGAATAGTCATTAATCAACTTCTAGACCAGTTTTCCAAACTTGGTGTCCTCCAGATGTGCTGGGCTTGCAAATCCCAGTTTTCCTAGCCCATATGGCCAAAGGTTAAGCTGAAAGAGAACTCTGTGAATTGAAGTCACCACACAACTGGAGGGCATCAGCTTAGGAAAGACTCTTTTTGTTTGTTTAAGGCTGCTATTTTCGTTGCTTTGGAAACATTCTGAGAATTTAGTGTTTTATGAAGTGTGTAAGGTTGTTCCATAGTCTTTTTTCCTTTTCAGTATATGCTGCTCTGAATGCTAATCCATAAACAACCTCTCTCTCCCATGGAATTCATGGTCTCATCTCCTCCTTCCCATTTCTTCTTCCATCCAGAAGATTCCAGGAAACTTAGGACAACTCATTAAATGCCGAATTCAGATGCCTTTGATGATGCACACTTAAATTTGTTGAGGGGTGAGGTCAGAGTGCCTGAAGATGTGCCTGATCTTGGAGCAGGTTGGAATTAAGAGTGCTGGGAAAATATGGGCAGGAGAGGAGATAGTCTTTCTACCCAGCAAATGGCAGATGTGCAACTGACACAGCCATTAAGAATTTAGAAGCCCATTGAATAAATTGAAATGAACACGGAAGGGCATTATCTAATCCCGTGTTTCTCAACCTTGGGAACTTTAAAATGTGTGGACTTCAACTCCCAGAATTCCCCAGCCTACATCTAATATGTAGGATGGAGCCCTTCTAGTTATTCTAACCCTCAGAAAACCAAGCCATCTACAACTGCTTTCTCCTCTCTGAACAAGACAAACTAGGAGACATCAAGTGCTGCCTTTCAGGAGACTATCTTGGGTTGCAAAAGTTGGGGGTGGAAGGCACTTAGCCTTTGAGTGATATTTTGGGGACTGTACTTCAAAGAGTGGATGAGGTCAGACCAAAGAAGTAGATGGAGCCAGGACGAAAACAACATTTGGTTTATTCAAATGTTAATTTAAATAAAGCTAATAAGATTATTCCCCATATATTTATTTAATTGGTGTACAGCTCGCCCAGAGGTATCGGGGCCGAAAGATGAGCTCTAACCACCATGTCCACTCCAGGATCAGAATTCAATTTGGGTTCTTGATTCAGCTCTGGCCATTTGTAGGATCAGATGACTGCTAATAGACCATTTTATGTGCGAGGCACGGCAGAGTCAACTTGCAGTATGGAGCTGATTGTTTTGATCAGAAAGCTTTCAGTGCTTTGCTGACTCATTATCTTTAAAACTGGGGGGGGGGGGGGGGGAGGAAGTTATGCTGATGCAAGGAGAAGCAAGGGCTGATAGATACAACCTATTCTTGGCCTCTAGAAGTTGTAAAAAGGGCCTAAATCTGACTCATCTGGAGGGAAACAGCTTTGTGAAGGCTGATCTGAATGGTGGACTAGTCCGGAAAAATCAAACCTTCAATTAGCCATTGAGTTCATGAGAAGACTGTGTCCTACTCACTCTCTTTTAGCATGACTGACTTCATGTTGCCGTTACAATGATAACATAGAAGGGAAGGAGAAAACACTGTGCCTTCCACCTTGAACTCCTTGGAGGAAGGCTGAGAAAGAAATAGGCCCACAAGCAATAGTAAAATCTTAGCCTGAGAGAGACCAGTCTACTGAATTACTTAAGAACATTGTTCTTAAGCCTCGGGGATGTATAGAAGCAAGCCCCATTATAACAGGAAGTCTCCAGTTTGGCCTGACCTGGTTAAAACACTTGGAATCTGGCCTCTTGCCACCACTTGGTCTCTAAGACAGACCCTTCTCTTTGCTACGCATCAGATTCCAGCCAGCTGTTCCAGCACATGATGTCAGAGACCAGGGGTTGACAACTATACACTCCAGGTTTGATTCAGGTCCAGGCCAGATCCCTATAGCATGCAAACTGATCACTGCTTCAATGTTTTCTTGAAGATGGGGGCCCCCTTTGAAGGCCTGCATTCGTGAACATCTGCTGTGCATTCGGCTTCCATGAAGACCCCGGAGGCCCTTCCGGTCCCCTTTCCTTCTATGAAAGCAGGCATTTTTTGCCATTTAAAAAGGGAAAAAAAGCTCTGCTGGCCTGTATGAAAAGAGACAAATATCTTTTGCAAGACAGGGTGGGGGTGGGTGAGAGAAAAACGGACGCATCTGCCGCTACAGAAGGAGCTTTATTAGTCTGTGTTGGAACCCAAAGCTCCGGCAACCAGACAATCTGAGCTATAGTTTTAAGGCTTTCTGCAAGATCCAAAACACTTCAGCACCAGCCAGCACAAGACGTGAAGCCCCACCCTGCCCTTATTTAACCAAACGAGATGCTAATAGCTTTGCTGTACGGCTTGGAAGATGTGGTCTTCCTTGGAAGTTTTGGTTGCCAAGTGGAGGTCTGAAACATACCTTACTGCACACTCATTTCTCCAAGAAACATACTTACAGTAATGCATTTCAGGCAAGCTCCATTAAAAAGAAAAAAGAAATTCTTAGTATCTCAATCTGGAAACAAGACGGCAGAAACTAACAGCTCATATGAAACTAATTTCATGCAACGGTTACATTATGTGCCTCCTGCCCACTCTTTCTCATTCTCCCTTGTTAGTTTCAAACGGAGGTCATCATACCTTCATCCAGGTAATTATGTTTTAATGTTTTTAGAAAATAGATTCTAAAAGCACTAGGGGGCATGCCCAAAGCTTCTCTGAGAAACAAGCTGCTTAAAACTGATCTCCCCTTGCAATGCACACCTGCAGAAAACTGCCAAGCGTGTCCTAACATGCCCTTCTTATTTCTTGAGAATTCAAGCGAGGATCCTGCTGAGATTGAGTCTGGAACCTACAACGTGTTCCTGAAATATTCACAATGCATTGGGGCTTTGAGGGTGGATATTCCAGTGGGTTTATACCACCCTTCCCCAATCCATAATACTCCAGGCTCCCTTGGAATTCTGGGAAACAAAGCTAAAAACATCTGGAAAGCACCTGGGTGGGTTATATAATGTTTCTCTGTTTATTATTACTATTATTTTCAAGCTATTTCTCAGCCAAGTTTTCAAAATAGCAAACAATAAATTCTGCATAGTAACAAGACATCACGTCATAAAAGCATTTAATTAAAACCCTAGTTTTGGACCCAACCCTAAACATTATATTTATACCTCATTCATTCTAATGAGCTCAGGGTGGTTCATTTGGGGACTAGCTCAGTTTAATTGCAGTCTGCAATCTAGACAAGAATGCAGTGTAGGACCAAGGGAGAGTGCTTTACTCAAAGTTATTCAGTAAGGACTTGGCCAACCAGGAGAGCTGAAACCAGGATTTTACTGATTCCACCACATTGTTTGGAGACATTTTACGTATCTTTGGGATTAACATCTAAATCATATGAGTGACCAGGAAAGAAAATAAGTCACAGCACTCAAGCTTATATCTCCAGAAGAATACAATGAAAAGATAGACAATTACCATCAAATGAAGTGGTATTTTGGTTGGTCCTTTGGCAGACATCTTCTCCCACAGCCCTCTTCGTACATAACGAATGGTTGTCCCTGCTATCTGAAACTCACCAGGAAGTTCAATTTTCCAGTCGCTATTAATGGATTTCTTACTGGAATCTTTCAAAGCTGCAAAGAATAAAATGGGCAGCAAAGATAGCATTAGGGGAAAAAATGCCATTGGGAGTACTTCATTATGGTTAGAAGCCATTTCTCTCTCTCCCTGAAGTCTCTGATCCATCACCATTGGCCAAGATCAACCCCACCCTGGGTGTTGCTAAAGAGCTATATTTTCCATCCCTTATTATAAGGTTTTTATTTGATGAGTTAATTTAGGCAAGGCGGGTTATTTATATTTGTTCCAATATGGGAGAGGGTTAAAAAAGGCACACACACCCTGCTGTCCAATTGCCCTCTGAAATCTGTTCCACCAGCACTGTCTGCCAGTAGAGTTGACTGTAATGCATGAATCAGCAGCAAAGGTCATGATTGTTGAGCTTTGCCAGAGCCAGACAGACACAATGAAGTTACAATAAGACTGAAGACTAGTTCATTGCAGCTGAACCAATCTAAACATTCTCTGAAGAAAGCATATAGAAACTATTTCATAAGAGCTTTAAAAACCAAAAAAAAAAAGCACTGGGCCATTTAAAACTAATATTTAGAGGGAAAGATATTTGGAATTGCATCTATTTCCTCGCACAGAATAGAGTACTTTGCTGCAAAGATTACTTAAAAGCTACTTAAATTACGGTCTTTTTTATGGGATTCTTTTCACAGCTGAGTTCTCAAATTGATTTTGGGGCAGAATGTTGGATATGGGTTGTGAATTAGCAAGTGCTAGGCTTAGCTAATTTGAGGTGGTTTTTAAAATATGAATGAAAAACAAGGGAATGGGAGGGGGGAGAAGCTTGGCTATTTCCAGGCCTTTGGAGGTATACCACAACATGCTTCTTCCTGCCATCAGGACTGCAACATTTTTGTAGCTGAGAAGCCCGTTAAATGTAAAAACAAAATCTGTCAAAGTGAGGCAGTAATCTGGTAATATCAACAGAGAGGGAACAAGGTAGAACATTTCAGCCCAATTTTTTTTTTTTTTTTAGTGATGACAGAGAAGATGACAATGATGATGCCTTTTGTCCATTTTTTTTAAAAGTAAAATAAGCATGTTAATCCTAGCACAAACTTATTTTGGTTGCTATTTTAGCTGAAAAAAACTTCCAAGAAACAAGATCCCGAACAGCTTTAAGAGGGGACATGGACATCCGCGAGGGAGACAAATGACCAAACTTGGGTTGTAACACAAACTCCGTCCCTTTTTGTGCTTGTATATGTGACATGCAACATTGCAAGGGCAAGGCTTACACTGTGATATCATAACATACGTTTCATCCTTTTGAGAACATCTTGGCTTCCTGCCAGCGCCTCTCGGAGGCTATGGGTTGCCCATCCACGAGGAGTAGACAATGCTGTTTAGATATACTTGTACTCAACTCTTAGAATTCCAAACTAACATGATCTTTGGTTAGAAAAACTGGGGCAGGTAGATTTTTTTATCTAGGAATCCTCTTATTCAGTGACACCAGCATACTGAAAATGAGAGAACTAACAAGAACTTTAGTCTTATGTCCTGACCATGAACTATCTGGAGGCATCTGGATGAATATTCCTGGAAAAAGAAATGTGGAATAATATAATAACCCTATCTGGCATGATTCAGCAGAGTTCTTCTTGCTCTTCTCTGCCACAAATTTAACCAGGTCTCCTTGGCAAATGGTCCACCCATCCTTTCAGTGAGCTTCCTATGGCTTTAGCTGGAGCTTCTAAATTTCTAAAGGAAGCCAGTGGGAATTTACAGCCCTAAAGCCACTACTGTCTTTCCCCACACATAACTTTTCTTGGTCGGATTTTTCCCCCCTCCTGAATAGCAACCAACCCTCTCAGTCTGTTCTCCAAACTTGCATCAACTCTAGTCTTTCTCTCCACTCAGATTCCTTCCATCTCATTCCCAGGCTCTGGATACCTCCAAAGTGTAAGGCATTTCCTGTTCAAGGTAATTTGTAAAAATCAATCAAGCCAGGCAGCGTAGGATGAAAGTAGGTGGAAAGGAACTTGCTCAAGCATCAATTCAACATGAAGCCGGATTCAGTGCCAAAGAGTCCTGCCCAGTCCAGAATGAAAATAAGACATACTTTGCCTAAATTTTGACTGAGTAATTAGCTCCAGCCATCACTCCAAGGTTAAACACAGCAGCGTTTGCACAGACCTCAGACCTTATTAAAGTTACAGTGGCAGGAAATTGTCCTTTGAGTTTCTAACTATCCTACTGTACTGGTTGGATTCATGCCCACATTTTGCTGACAAGGCTCTGACAAAACAAAACTTTCAATTGTTATGTTCAGACTCGATAACCAATCTGTAAATACACAGAGAATGCTCTTTTCAAGATAGCAAATCCTGTTTATCTGTCATCTCTGCTCATGGAATATACAGAAACAGAACTTTTCCTGACAAATCCCCTCCCCAGCTCCATTCTGGGTCTTGGTTAAGCCTTATTACCCAAGCTTTCTACAGTTACTGCAATATTCCAATCTTCCTTACAATTGGGGTGAAACAGAGGAAGAGAAAAGCTGTCCTTAAGGGATTCTGTTTACAGCTGCTTTGTAAAAGTGATTCTATCGGCAGAAGTTAATTTGTTTCCCTTCAAAATGAAGGTCTCCTTCACCAAACAGATGAGATATCTTTAATGCAATGAGGCTGATCAGCTGGAAGTGTGAAGTGGTTAAGGAGTTGGGACCTTAATGTCAACAGTCAAGTTTGATAACTAGATTAAAAGCACAAACAACAAAAGCAGTCAACTTGCATTTGATCAACCAGTATGCAAAACTAGGAGGAAACTGGGATCACTCTGTGGGTATGATATGAGTGCTTGTTTATGTTTGTCTTCATCTCAACTGATATCTGACAAACCTCAACTGGATAGCAGTAGCTATCCACATTAATCTAACCAGGTTAATAAAAACACTGATTTTTCAAAAACTCAAAAGATTTGCAAGATACCAGGACACTGGCACACATTGTTATCCCAGTTTTACTATGTCAAAGTCTTGTATGATGGAGACATTTTAGTTCCAAATACTGCCTGCCATATAAATAGAGATAAAAGCATCAGAGCAGGCGAGACATCAAGAACAGCACATTGTAATCTTGGAAGTGTCACGGTTTTTTGGAGGAGATCCTGCAAAATGTGATATTGAGCATCGTAGACAGCTTTCTGAGCATCCCATTTTTAAGAAAGAAAGCTTCTAACCCATGTGGATGTGAAAATAGACTTGAAAGCATGCAATCAATACTTAATGGAATCGCAAAAGCCAACTACGTGACCAATCTCAAAAGCTAAGCAGAAGCAGGAGCTGAGGAAACCAGACTCAATAAACAGAAATGGAGATTTACACAAAGTTCCAAAATTCTGGGTTTTGCTGAGCAGACATTTTCTAAGCCCATAGCAGATTTCCCTTTCACATCATAAAAGTTGACTCTATGCCTGCCAGTTCAGTTACATCAATCTTCAGCATGAAACAACAGACGGTAAAGCAGATTGACAAAAATAAAATGCCCATCCTAATGTTTGTACAATTTTTAAAAAATCCTAGAGGATGTAGGATACAACAGTGGCCAAACACTGAGTGTCCACTGGAGAAGAAAAGCAGAAAAGAGGTCAGAGTAGAATGGCTGCCTTCAACTTCCTATAAGTTTTTATTAAGATGGCATAGTTTAGACCATTGTTTCTCCAACTTGGCAACCTTAAGATGTGTGGACTTCAGTTCCCAGAATCCCCCAGCCACCTGGGGTTGAAGTCCACACATCTTAAAGTTGCCAAGTTGGAGAAACAATGGTCTAGACTCTGCAGTCCCCAATATTCCCATAGCCATGTCCCATGATCTCCACCAGATTTCTATTTTAGATTGTTTGAAATGAAAACAGATGCTGTATACTACAAAAACAGATGCCAGCATCCAGCAGTATTTTAACTGGCAAAAATGCTTTGGGGCCCCACAAATTCCCCATAAGTATCCTAAAAAGATTTTTAAAAAGGACTGATTCAGCTTCGTACTTTGTCTGGAAATACACTGCCCTGACCACAAGACAATGATAAACTGTAGGGTGACAGAAAGCATCTAGAAGGGTTAGTAGATGGCACAAACCATCTGATCAGGTTGCCTTCTGCTCAATGGATATGTTGTGAGCAGTGCGCTCGCTACAGCAGAGTCTGAGAATCGGCCAACCACTCCTATTGCAGTCATTTTCTAAAAGTGCTTTCAAAGTCTACACGCTCCTGCTTAACGCAATGTTCTGCAAGAAGACATGGCTGGCTGGCTGCCCCTTGAACAGAGCACCAAATATTTTATCTCAGGCCCTATTTCTGTTTATTATTAGGAGTATGAGTGCTAAATCAAAACTACCGTAGCCAGGGGGGTTTATCTAAATTAGGTAGCAACCAGTTCCCAAGCAGGTCAGAGGCAGGACGAGGTGAGCATCTGGAGGCGTTGTCAGCAGGATCCACGTGCGTCCAGCAGTGGGTGTAGTCATTGCTCTCCAGGTAGTGAGCGGCACTGTCTCTGACACATGGGGGCTGGCATCATCAGGTGCCCCTGTTTGCCCTTGCAACCATTCCCACCAAATGCCTAACAGAGAGGCTTCCTTGAGCAGACACAACTGAGCCATGAACACCACTGGGCCATGCAAGCCGAAGGATCATTGTTCTTCTAAACTTAGGAAAAAAATGAACAACTGAACCAGACCAGCCTAGCTAGACATCTTCCCTGATTATAGCTGTAGCTAGCAATGGACTCCTACCCCAAAGCTTCTTTCTGAAATTACCTCCAAATGTGGCTTTTAATGATGAGAATCCAAGTAGCAAAAGTCTTTGAGAGATCATGATGGTAAATAAATAAACTCTTCTCCAAAACCCCACCCATATTGTTTCCAATATTATGCGTAAAACCAAGTCCCTACTCTTCTCCCTCTCCCTCTCTCTCTCTCTTTACCCAAAAAACTGTGGCCAGGTTTGTCCTCCATGACACGGATTCGTCGCGCTCCGGCAGGGATCACTGTTGCTTCAATATAACCTACAGCAAAGAAAAAGAATATATGAGCCACCGGTTATCAAAAAGTAAATACACAGGGAAACGAAGAAGTGGTCCTTTACAATTTGGAAAAAGAAATCCACAGTTCCAACACTCATTTTGAAATTTTGTGACAAGTTCTGCCACACAAATTTCGAAGACATGAACTATGACCTGAAGAGGAGAAGGAAATGAACATGCCTACATTTGAAACTCAGTTCCTACATAACTAAAATTATGATGTAGTAAACTCCAATTGGTGAGTGTTGGATTTCTTCATATGACCAGAACTCTGTTAAAATTGTTTTTTGGCCAGCTGTTGCAGCTCGTTCCATGAATCAAAAACTGTTCTGAGAAAGCCCTTCAGGATATTTCAACTTCCTTTGGCTCCAAATAATTTGCCAGCCATTTTAATTTGTGGGAAACTTGGTTTCATATTTCACACATATTCAGTCACTGTGGCATGCAAGCCATAATTTGTGGCTAACAATACTATGTCAACTGAACCAACGGATTGATTCAATAAACTATGGCTAAACAAGTTATGCTTTAGCATAAGCTTTAAAGCAAGGCAAGATCTATTTAGGACAAACATAAAGAGCAGTTGGTAAAAACTGGATTAACTATCTCTACTTCCCCCCAAAAATTCTTGGAATTTCATGAAGATTTCTCCACCCTATCAACTTGTAGAGATGGTAGGACTACAATTCCCAATATTCTCACTGGCTGGACTGGAGCAGGCAGCTGGAGAAGCTTTCCAGAAAGACAGCTCTCAAGGCTCTTGGTCAGGAGAAATGATGAATCAATCTGAAATTGTCACACAAATTTAGAGTGACACTAAATATGTAAACAAATACCTGCTCATGCAAAGGGGCATATGATGTCAGTGTTTCAAGATTGCATTGGAGCAATGTAAACTCGAAATTTCGCTCATCCATGAAGCTGGCTGACCTCTCTGGATCTCTCCACTTAAACTACTTGACAGAATTGTTCTAAAGATAAAATCAGGGAGGGAGGAAGTGATGGTGGAAGGAGAGAAAAACACCATACATGCCACCTTGAGCCTTCTGATAGACAGGATAAGACTTTAGTAAAAAATAAAGTCCTTTAAATAGGAATGACTATTATAGAAATTGTTGATTTGGAAGTACAGTATCGGGTTGTATCTCTGAAGCAACCTCAGGTATTCTGACCTAGGCTTCAATTCACACAGATACTGAACTGTTCTTACAGGCAGCTGCATCATCCCTGCCCATGAAATGCTTGTGGGCCTTGCAAATCCTCCTCATTCCCAGCCTTTGTATAGAACTCATGTCCATCCTGGAGGGAAGGAGAAGAAAAGGACGATATCTAGCAGCAAGGTGGATGGTCTGAGTTACAGTGGCGATGGGCGCACTGTTAGAAGAGCTGAAGGACCAGCTTAGGGACAGGTTGTCATGGAGAAAATCTATCTATGTGGTTGCTACGAGTCAAAAATGTCTTGATGGCACATAATCAATCCATCCATCAATCATGTCCATCCTGGCCAGTCAGCCTTCCTGGACCCGGTGTCCTGTTGTGCATCTGGAAGGCACCATATTGGAAAACGTTGATTTGGTTTCTACCAGAAGCATTTCCTATCAAGAACAATATGATAATAGAGCATCTGTTTCAATAAGCATACCGTGTTTTTGCTCTTGTCCTTCCCTTATTAAACTTTTTATGTGATGATTCCCACCTGACTGCACATTCATTTTTCATTTTCTTCTCCTTTTGTTAGGTTACCAAAGAAACAGCTTGACACCACAGAAAGGAAAACTGAAAACATGGCTACAATAGAAAATTCAGAGTTAAGATTCTGGTGCCAACATGGTGGATTCAGCATTTCTACAATTTCAGTGCACGTGACAATCATCTTGCCTTTCGTGATAACTGTTGTTTTGATCATTATTATTATTACCACAATTATGTAATCAATAATAATCCAATCAAACAGCTGTCTAACATACAGCTTAGCATTAAGAATTTGGGTTCTCTCTTCTTTGGCATATTCAAATTGTATTGAACCATCACATTCTATGATGGCAAACTGTATCTGGCAAATTATTTCAGTAGTCCTTCAGGATTCTGAAGGGTTTGTATCCCTTCTGCAGGAGGAATTGGCATTATGGATGTTCCTTAGTATTTGGGAAGTTTACATTTTTGAGTTTTGGGTCTTCTCTGTGCTTGATTGTTTTCCTACAGATGTTTCATTAACGGGCCAGGTAACATCAATCATGCACTAATGATGCACTAATGATGTTACTTAGCCTGGTAATGAAATCTCTGCAGGAATCAACAAGCTTAGAGAACACCAAGATCCCAACAGTTCAACCGTAAGCTACATACAGGTAGTCCCCAGTTTACGAACGAGTTCTATTCCCAAGGTTTGTTCTTAAGTCAAATCTGTATGTAAGTTGGAACAGTATTATTGTATAATACTGGATAAGTAGTATTGTGTAATGAACTTGAACCATTGTGTATTTAACTTGAATCATTTTGTACTTAGCTCGAATCATTGCATATTTAATTCAAATTTTGCTACAATAGGCTCTGTTCTTAACTATGGGTCATCTGTAAGCCGGGTGTTCTTAACCCAGGGGCTCCCTGTATATTCTTTACTATTGGAAAATCTATATTGTTATATTATTGTGGGGTTTTTTTAAGCTTTAACTTTATTACTGCTGGAGGTCAGTAAACTGCTTGGCACCAGACATGATTGGAGTGACATAGAAACCTGCTAAAATAAATGCATATATAAATAAATAAACATCTTGGGAAATACACAGAGACCCCAAACCAAAGATGATTACCATATACATGAACCCACAAGGTGATTAATAACAAGATATAACCAAATGGGGGTGGGGGGGAGGAAGCGCCCTGAAATTATATGTGTCACCAATGTTAGGATAACAGTTATGAACATGCTTTAAATTTACAATTTCAAGATTTCACCCAAGAATGTAAAGAATTAATGTAAGCAATCTTTTGCCAGATCCTCCATGGCTTCCAACTAGCTCCAGATTTATACCAAATATCCACTGACTGGACCCATCCAAGCAAGAAGAAATGGGGGAGAAATGGGGAAATCAATCTCAGTGGAAAGATTCTTCAAGTCCCTTTTCATATTACAAGCGAAAACCCTTTTTCATTGCCACATTAAATGAATGAAAAGCTGGTTGACATCCTGGTGAATTTTCTTCAAATCAACCTTGCATTGGTTGTACAAATCAGGATTATTGTTTCTCTATAATGCTGCAGTATTTACAAGAGAGACTAGATGTATCACAGAAGAGATGAGTGACCATCAGGACAATTGAAAAGGTATAGAAGAGTGCTCCACATGGAAGTGAAGTTCATTCCTTTTCTCTTCCATTATGGTTCTAATAAAATCCTTCTTCCTTCATTCCTGGGGAGGAAAATGGATTGGGCTAATACGTTTCTCTCTTTCTCTAGGGTCAGATTGATGTAGGAATAGTTTAATTTTCCTTTTCTTATGTGGTGGGCTCCAGTGAAAATTATCTCCAGAACTACTATGATCTTTCCCCCAATTATCATGCCTATCAGTGATATATTTGACATCGTATCTACTTTGGCGTTTAGAGTTTTTCTTTAGAAAAGGTCAAGTGCAGTCAATATAGACTACTGTATGCAATAGGCTCCAGATTTGTTTATTTCATTATGCCCTGGACCATTAATGATTGTTTGTCATATGGATGATTAAATCTTATAAGCTGAAGAGTACAGGAAATTGAACTCCTGCTTTACTTTTCTGTGAACTTAATAATAAACAAGTGACTTTTGTTAGTAGCTTCAACCGTTAAGTGTCTCAGTTTTCTCCACTAGTCTCAGTAACTGTAGTTTCTGTTTTAGCTGAACATATGAGAATATAACAAGGGTTTGACAGCACCTGCTTGTTATACATCCAATATCCTTCAATGGTTATCCAGATGAAGATGTGCCCTAACATCAGCATGACCAGTAGCAGTTCATCACCACTATTATTGGCCCATGATTTTTGCTGTTTTTATCTCTTGGGCATGTATCTGCTGGAAAATGTTGAGATTAGCTTTTCAGCAAGAGCAAACTAGAGGAACCAAATTCTCCTGTAAATTAAATCAATTCACTGCTTATACTTCTCAACTCACAACAAATGCAGTTGTACCAGGAGCTGGGCCATTCTAATTTGAATCAAGAGATAATGAGTTAAATTCTGCCTGTTCAATCTCATAGACATTCGCTTAAGCACCATTTCCTTCCTCTAACTTCATGGGTTGTTCACCGAAGACAAAGTAGAAGAATGTAGAGTTAACAAATTATTTAGCAAATACAGTACTACCTTTATACTAGTAGATTCCTGGGGTTTTGAGTTTCTTTTTATCCTGTTACTTAACAGATTAATAATTAATGGAAATCAACTTCTCAGCATTTGGAGGAATGTAGGTCTTGATACTGTCTCTTACCATTTGCAGTATTGTAATTGCAGTTCAGATATAAAGCCAGAAAGATTAGCAAATTTCAGTTTACTATGACCAAGAAAACTCTACTATGATTACAACATTCTCAATTTTTGGTAGACTTGGTCTGTTCTTTTTGACGCCAAATCCAGAGAGACCGTTAAGGCAATTGTGTCACAATAGGATAATAGGTTCCATTCTTTCATTCATTTAGCTCAAAATAATTTCAGATCTAACAATGATGTTTCCAAAGCCTTCTGGGAACTCTTCATTATTTGTTAAATTGTAGCATTATATGCAAGTGCACTCTACCTCAGGAACAATTCTCTCTTTCTGGCACACAATCCTCTTTCTGTCTCGTCGGTGTTCCATCAATGCCTCAGGAATGCACAACTGGGCTCGAAGAGAATGCCGCATCAAAATTATATCGGAGGGCTCAAATTAGTGGAGACACCTGAGCCGACGGGAAGGGAGCAGAGAGAAGGGGACAGGAAGATTGTGCCTTCCCTGAGAAATCTGGAAAGAGCTAGTGAGGAACAAACTCCTTCAGCAGTTCTATTACAAGGCTAAGTTATTTTCCCCAGGCAATGAAAACAGATGCTAATACAAGTCTTAGTTTGGAGGATGGACTACCAAATAGCTAGTATGGTGACCATAAGTGAAGGAGATAGTACTAAGCTAGGGTTCTATGCAGCAGAGAGCCACGCTTCCAGTAGAGTATACCCATCCACTCTGTACCCCACATTGCCATTGTACACAAGAGGCTGGGGACATCTACAGTTCTACCCTAAGTGATGGAGGGCACAGAAGCAGCCCAAGCCAAGGTGAAAGTCTTAGAGGGCATAGGTTTTAGGGATCCTACAAGAGCATCAGTGCCTGGGAATACCAGATGAAACCAGTGGCACTGTGCCAGTCAAGAAGAATCAGACTGGTTAAGATTATAAGATACTGATAATGGACAAAGATAACCAGCAGATTATATACTACTGATAATGGGCCAAGAGGGATATTGGCACTTGATCTGCACACCTCCTGGAAACTCTGTTCAACTCAATTTCTGGTTTCATGAAGTACTTCCTGTGGGACTGTGCTTATCAACCCAGTCATAAGATCTAGAAACTTGCACCTTGTTCTGTACAGAGTGCTAAATTCAATTTATCGCATGGCACATCCAAGTACAAGCTGTTGGAATGCTTTGTCTTCTCCAGACATGCTCAGCTTTTTATTCTTTCTGCTAGAGATCACCGATTGGTGCCATCTGTAGCAGTAATCAACAAGGGCATCTTTTTCTGCTCAAGACAGGACCAAGAGTTTAAAAATAAAAAAGGAGTCAGAAATTAAATGGTGGTCAATATTTATCAACTGCAGCAAGATTTCATTTTATGGAGTCACCTGCAGGTGAAACTTGCCATTTATCTTCATTGGTGTTTCTTCCAACCATGCAGTTTCCTCATTTGAAACATGGAAGTAGTCAGTATAAGTGTTGGTAAGGCTTCATAACATGGGCATTTTTCTTGCCTTTTCCTCTTGGAACATGTTTCTGTTCTGTGTTAGTTCTACAATTTCCATCATTCCTTTTTTGCTTCTAGCCATGGAGTCACTGGAGGAAAATCATGATTTCTTGAAGCTATGGACAAATTTCAAAGCCAGCAGCTAATGCTCTCAGTGGTGAGTTTGGGATTCTTAATGCACTTATAATTAGGTGGTTCCCATAGTATCTGCTAGGATTCCAATGAACTAATATTTTCACATGCACGGCCTATACCTAAATAGGCTAAAATTTGTATGAAATGCACTAAAAGATCATTATTATAATCATTGATGAAAAGCTGGCTTTTCTTTCTCCAGAAAAAATAATGTCATTTCCTAGAAGTGAAGGACGCAGCAAACATAACTAATGCCTTCTTCTCAATGTCTTCCCTTTTCATTCAAATTGCATCTTGCTCCCACCCCTTTTTGAATAACTAATGGCAAATATTGGGTATGTCTTCCTATCTTTCCACTGGACTTCTCCTCTGAAGACAGAGTCATCTGCAGATGGAATCATGAAGGATTACATTCTGGTTGCCATGAATGACCATCTTGATTTATATTTCAGTATGGGCATGGGATGACATGCCCATAAGCTGCTCATAAGCCAGTAATCAAGCCTATCTGTTCTTAGCATAGAAACCCCTTATAGCTAAACCCACTCATGCTCAAAGTTAGCTGTGGAATTATGGAGGACCTCAAAAGAGAGCCAGAAAATGAATTTCCAAGATGTTATCTTTTTCTGAGAGCTCAGTGAAAAGATTCATATAAAGACAGGACGTGGGCAAAAGAGTTTTGAAATATATCCACAGCTTTTGCTGTTTCTTTGAGTAGGTTCCCATTTTTGAATTTCAAGTGAACTGAAGAAAATAGAGGAAGACCAACACCAAGAGAATAGCTATCTAACAGCACCACACAAAGCAACCAAGCCATCTTACATGAGAAACACTTGGGAACTGCCTTTGTTTTTGCCATCACACATGTGGAAACCTTCCTACATTGACTATTGGAGACTAAGAAGAAAAAAAAAGGAATTGGCATAGGTTTAGTTACATCAGTAGGGAATATTTGCACAAGTCAGCAATCATCAGAAATAAGGTCAGGATCTTTCTTCAGAAGAGCCCAATAAGCAGCGTGATATCATTCCCTTGCAACAGCTCTCTGACATCTATTATAAAGCAATCCTTTTTTGGAACCAGCTACTTGGACACTGAGCAGCAACTCTGAATCTAAATAAAGTAGTCCATATAGTACTATAATAGGGCTCTGTTGCACTTTGACAAGCAACACATTTAAACATATATCAATAACCCATCACTTCTCAGCTTTTTGGCTAAGATCAAGGGTGTGTGTAAATAACCATGTTTCAAGTTCAGTTATAATTCTCAGGGTTGCTGGTCTTCCATTGCACAGCAAAACAATACATGCATCACATTATAATACAGAACCAAAAACAGAACAAGACTGAGAAAGTGTCAGCAGTGATCAGCAATGAACATCAGCAGCAGATAAAAACCGAAAGGACCCAGCCACCGTTACTTTAACTAAGGCAGCAGAGGGAACAGGCAGGAGAGGAAGGGGACGAAAGATAAAAGAGGAAGTCCCCTATGCCAGTAAAATTTATTTATGGTCCTTGACCAGCCACATTTAGAATTGCAAAATACAGAAAAACGGGTTTCCTATGCTAGCCGTGGCATTAAAAATGTTTCCACCATGCTTATCGAATTCTGCCCCTCAAATCAAATAAATCATTCCTAGACCATCTGCGTGCCTACCAAAAATTGCTAAAAGTTCTGGCCTGTGGTTATGCCAAATGCTGTCAGTATTAAAGTTAAATTAGAATATTTCAGTCTTCAGGCATGCAAGTGTTACTCACCCGTCCCTTTTGTATGGTTGAAGTCCCCTTTCACCACTTTGCAGGTTTTGCCATCTCCATTACAAATGCCACAATGGTCTTCTTTGGCAGCAGACCCAATGATCCCATCACAGCCAATTTTCTAATGGTAATCAAGAGGGTTTTGTTGTTGTTGTTTTTTTGTTATTTTCATAACAAAAAGAGGTTTTAGAGATTTAATTTCCTTTAGAGATTTCTAAAAAGAGGAGAAGCCCTGGATACTCATTTGAAGGACTATTGCTAAGGAAACATTGGGAATCAGAAGTACCACTAAGTAGGGTAAACTTAAATTATGATGCTAATCAGCTGATGTGGCGACCCACCTACCTAACCACCAATGCACCAAACTGAATGAAGCCTAACCTTCGTATTCAGTGGCCTGCTGGATATTTGACAAACACCTTTTCCCTTCTGGTTCTGATATTTGGTAAAAAAAAAGTGTATTTGACTTCTGGTAGGTTATATGTATCTGGTGGATGAAGTTTTACAAGCCATGAGTGCCTGATTCTATGAGGTACCCCATATTTTTTGGCTTGGGCCTGATAAGAATATTTTCAGGAGGCTCTTTTACAGAAGACAAAGAATACTCGGATGGTTTAAAATAATTTTGTTTTCTTTATGCTGTCTCTTTCTCTGGCTCTACAAACTTTTGGCAGGGCACGAAGCCATATTTCAAAATGCTAACAAGACATCCTCTGACGAGGAAGGCAGGGCACATATATTTCCTGCTCTGTTCAAATCAGAAGCCTATCTGGGGATCCTGAAGGCATACCATGACTTGCATTGGGAGTTTCTGGAATCAGATGACGATTCAAGGCCATAAATTATGGGCCCTAGGGCCAGCTGCCACCTAATTTTTGTGACCCTTTGCCTAACTTCAAAGCTCATCTGCAAACAAGCAGTTCAGATTTCTGGCAAGAGTTCTCTAGAGAGAGTGGGTTAGTGGGAAGGATATATCAAAGAGAGAAAATATGATGCGAGAAAGATAGAGAATAGGAGGCCCCACACTCTGCTTCTTTCAGTTCCACATTTGTACCCAGTATGTTATTCCCTAAAAATCAATTGTCTATCATAAACATTGGTTTCATAACACAAACACTGGCCTGCTGGAATGTTCATCCACACAGTCCTGTCAGATTTGGTCCACCAAGCTGGAGTAAGCGACCTAGTGCATCTCAGATGTTTTGGACTATAGATCTCACCAACCCCAGTCAGCATAGCTAACAGTCAGGAGTTATGGGAGTTGGAACTGATACATCTGAAGATACCCAACTGCTTGCTTCTGACCTAACTCTGATACATGGAAGCTGATTGGGTACACCATCTACCTCCTTTGAATGCCTGCCTGAGACTGAAAGAATAGGGTATTGCCAAGCATCTGGCAGGCTGCTGCAGTACACAGGAAGTGGACTTTGCTCAACTTCAAATCCAGCCCCAGGACTTTATATAACGATGTTGATGTAGGCCTGAGTGGACAACCTGTAGTCTTAGGTCTCCTGATAGCCTTTACCTACTTGCAAAACCTCTCTGAAAATAGTTATCACTTGCTCAGTAGCCTGCTGCTAAGGAGGCAGAAAATGGGTGTTAGAAACAAGAAGGAAAGTGAGAAAAAAGGAGTGTTAGAAAAATCCCCTGTAATCTTTGACCCACCCACCACTGATTTCAACCTTATGCAACATTGCCATGTGGCTACATCAGAATAACTCTGAAGGAATGCAGCCTAAACAGATTAAAAGTTACCTATCTTGATCTAGGACATGACCCCCAGTCCTGCTGAAACCCATGTCTTGTGCTTTGGGATCAGCAAGCGACTTCAAGCTACATGGGGACAATTCCCATTAAATGATCTATCAGCTCAAAAGTGTGAAATCAATCAGTAATTTTGATTGAACTTCCTTATACTATTTTTTTTTTAAGTTATGCCATTTCTCTCAGCCCACAATCTGAATTTTATACTGCTCGGGTACTTTCAACAAAGGTTTTTAAAATTCCTCATGGACAGAGCCCATACATAGGTTTGGGTGTTACTCCACTAGCACAATTATAATTACAGCCTCATGTAAAAAATGACAATGCACTTTCATGGAATACTGTAATGCTTCCCATATGCTCAGCTTGCCATAGCAGATTCGATATAAATATAAATATTGCCGTTGTTAAGTGTCATTCTGAAATTTAATTATGCCAAGATGATATCACTATAGTAAATTCTTCCAACTGTCAACACTTGTTCACACTGTAGTACTCATATAGACCAGTGCTGCTTAAACTTTTTCCTCTCAGGACCTCTTCCCACTTTTAAAAATTATAGAGGACCCCAAAAAAGCTTTTGTTTCAATGGTTTATATATATCAATATTTACCGTATTAAAAATTAAAATAGATGCATTCATAGAATATTTATTTACTGAATCCTGTAAAAATAACAATATTAAACTCATTAGATATTAACATAAATAACATATTTTTCAGGAAAAAACCCTGTATATTTTTAACAAATAAAAATAGTAATGAGAAGACTGACATGGTTTTAAATTTTTGCAAATATCTTCAATATATGGCAAATAATTTTGATTTTGTGGACCTCTGAGAGGGTCTTGGGGGACCCCCAGTGGTCTTAGAACCACACTTTAAGAAACACTGATATAGACTGATTCACCCCATCTACCAGATTTACATATAAAAAACCTAGAATAGCTTCATTTTTGCAGCAAAACCCCCAAAGAAACAAACAAAACCATTACCCCTTCATTGTCTGATTGCACCAAAATTAATTTCCCACTAGTATTCAAGTTCAGTGATAAGGTGTCTTCAAGCCATTTTATTGTTTCTCTGAACTTAAGACTTGCTTTAAGCAAATAATAATAATAAAAAAAACTATGATAAATCTAATCTTATCAGTTTTGCCCATTACATGGAGAGTTTCTTTACCAGTTCTAAATGAAAAACAGACCATCAGTTGTTGCAGAGAGGCCTAGAAAAGCACTCAGAACACAGTACAGAAATAAAGCCATCCATTAATTATTTCATTGAGATCAAAATGGTTATGACATGAGCAACAAGGCATGAATTCCACTAATAAACATTGCCATTAACTTAAAGCTTCCTACCACATAGAATATATTTTGGAGAAGCCCACCTCTTATTAAAAGTATGTAGTGTGTATGTGTGTGTATGAATGAAAATTGAGCATCAAAGGAAAAACATGTTCAACAAATAAATGCAGATGTTCCAGGATTTTTTTTTTAATTAACAGAAAAAAATAAAATAGTGGAATGCTACACTGATGTCAGGATGGCGACATGCCCTGGATTTGGACTGGTCAACTTATCTCTAAGCCCAACCTGAGTAATACTTTTCCTTACCATTTTAAAAGAAAAAGTGCTAAAGGATCACTGTTCTTGAAAAATTTCACTGGCCTTGGAAAAATCTTTCTGCTTCCATCAAAAACTTGTTCAGAGATCCCCTTTGAATGGGAATCCACAAATGTTCACTCAAGCTTTTCTAATTTTAGAAGAGGTTCAGTAGCCATTTGAATTAAAGGCACTGAATACATTAATTTTCCAAACCAAAAGAGTCACTTGGCGAGATGGGTGGCCACACAAATTGAACGAATGTATGAATAAATAGATTGACACCTGTACTTCAACAAATGCCAAGCAGGAATGCAAACTAGGGAAGGCTTGTCATGTCCTCTTTGGAAGATCGAAGGTCCTCTGACTTCTCTTTTCTTTGGAGTCCCAACAAAAGGAGCAGGGGAATATATTCCAAAAGTCCAATTACAGATGTTGTCTGCAAATATGCACACACAACTGGAAGACAGTCATGCCATGACTCACATCTTTTCACTACAGAAATACTGCTTGATGAGAAAAAGTTAATCTCCAAGACATATCCTTCTGATTCCATCGTTTATTACTCTTCTTACTTCCTGTGATGCTGGCAGAGAAACGAGTGATACCTCATAAATTATAAGAGCAAACTTACTAACATTGGGCAGAATCTAAAATGCTATTTAGAGAAGTCCAATAGCTTTGCCCATCCCTCAGGAAATTTCCTCTCCTGCTGTTGAAGCATTCTGCAAATTGTTTTTGAAGCTGTCCCTAGTTTCTAAAAATAGTTTGCTGTGTGGGATGGGGTGGGATAGGCTAATACTTTTCAAGAAAAATATCTCAACAACCTCTTTGGGCACACAGAATTGTTTGGATAGTTATTTGTATCTTGGCTATTCATAAGTGCATGGAAATGGGAAAATTGCCAGGTGCTTATCTAATGTCAAATACTCTTTTTTTGGAGAGAGTTGAAAGTGGTTGGAGAATGGGGTTTTCCTTCCCAGGGTATGAACTCCTATTTCTTTCATCCCTTCTGCTGTAACCAGCCTCAGCAGCCCTCTTACATGACAAGAAGAACACACACAACATGCCAGAAACTCTCTTTCAATTTTTCTTCAATTTTCTGGGGGAAACAATTGTACCCAATCTCACTAGATGAAATATAAAGGCAAATAACTTACAGACCATTGGTCCACTTAATATTGTTGAACAATACTGCTTTCTTTTGGAAGCGTGCCCATCTACCTAGAAAAAATATAGGCCAGGAGAGCTACCTGAGAGATCTAAATAGGCTTTTGGAGGTAGCAGGAAGCAATTTCACTGTTTTGCCTTCAAAAATGAGTCTTTTATGGCTGCTGGGTCCAGCATGTCTACAACATTGTGAATAGGCAACCTCCCTGGATGGCAGATATTTCGCCAGAGTTCTCACCACAGATTTTTAAAATTCCAAACAGGCCCACCAGCACAATGGCAGAGCATATGATTAGCATGTAGAAAGTCCTGGGTTAAGTCTCTGGTATTTGCCAGTAAAAAAAATAAGGTAATTGGTGATATGAACTCCACCTGAGATTTTTCCAATGAAAATAACCCAATATGGGTTCAATAGGTCAACCAGCCATCTGCTGAACTGATGGAAGGCACTTCCTATGTTTGACATTCTGTATATACTAATAGCTGCAAGAGGTTTCTGTGGGGCCAGTTTGGGCTTCCTGCAATGGACATGCCAATGTAATGTGCAAATTGATAAAGGTACCTGCCATCACTAGAAACTTCATTCTGTTTACTAGCTCTCCACCCCAAAATGACTGAATTAGCCGAGCAAAACTGCCAGCAAAAATGTCAAACCACCTGAAATCCTACAGGAGGACATATCAACTGAACCTGTGAATATCTGCATGAGTTTACACAGCCTAGAGATAAGGGGAATAGTTAGTTTATTCCACAGCCACAGCCTAGCTTTTTTTTCCCACAATATTATGCTATTTGTTTCCAGTTGCCATGCCTTTCATGAAACTCAATATCACAATATATTTAGATGTTAGTTCAGATGAAATAACAAAAAAATTACTCCACCTGGCACTTGCCATGAACGCAGAGGTCAGTCTCATAAGGTCCACATGGCGTACCATCAATGACCCTATCAGACACCAATACAGGAGACTCTTTCCCAAATGGGGAGCAATATAGCTCACAAGGCTTTTCTGAAATAATAATAATAACAACAACAACAGAGTAATACTCTTATGGGATTTTAGATTTGATCAACACTAGGAACGTAACACATTAGACATAACTGTATTTGGTTTATTGATGTAGCTATTCCAAGAGACAGTTACGCTGAAGTCAAGGAATTGGAAAAGATTACACCATACTGAGGTTTGCAAATAGAGACTACCAAAACAGAAGAAGAAGAAGAAGAAGAAGAAGAAGAAGAAGAAGAAGAAGAAGAAGAAGAAGAAGAAGTAGTAGTCGTCTTCAGTGGTACCAATGATTTTGGGGCCATTAGGTGCACTACCACAAGAATTTAGAATTTGAATTGCCTCTATCTGGAACCATTTGAGACAACCCAGCTATAAACAATAGTATTGTTGGGCACCTCATGCTTCATTAGAGACTATCTTTTCAGTTCCCAAGCTTTTGCGCAGGGCTTGAATCATAAAGAAGAAAATCCAAGTCACACTAGCTGGAGCGCACAATTATTGGAATTGGAATAATAATAATCTGTATTGGCTTGGGTTAACCCAAGATCCATAAAACAGCTATCAGGATAATAAATCTGAGATAGCAGATTTTATTTCAAATGATAAAAGGGTGTTATGTGCATTAGACATATTTTAAATACAGATGATGATCGCAACCCACCTTCTCCAACATGCAATCCAGAATCATCGCACTTGTTTTTAACCTCTGCACTGGACCATCTTCATAAGCTGATTTTTAATTCACAGAATAACTGTAGTGTAACTTAGTGATTTTAACAAAAGTCATATTGAAGGAAACAGAAGCTCTTCTAATGGTATAGAGTTTCTTAAACTTAGCAAGAACACAGAAATCAAATACTACATGTTTATATATATTTCTTTTTTTAAATAAGGAACAATCTACAACTTCTTCAAAAGGATTACTGAAGAAAATATGCATTAATACTCTTTCTCCCTTTAATAGATTGAAGTGAATAATACATCTTAATGGAATGTATCAGTATATGATAATATATTTCATCAGTATTTCTGGAACTTCACTTGTTAAAATCTTGGTGTCATTTCTATCCTATTTCTATAGTTAGACTTCACAGTAAGTGTGAAAGTCAATGATGTGTTGAAGAGAAGGGTAGCAAAACCTTCAATGCCCTTTCACTGAAAAGTTCATATTCTTTGTAAATTTTCATATGTATGCCTTCTGATTATCTAATACTTTTTTCTTTGATTTCAATAAAAGATCTGAGGTCAGTTCTGTCAATATCTCCTCTTTGTTCATCAAGAGAGCAATGATTTGGCTTGTGATATTGAATGGACTCAAACCCATAATAAGCCTTCTTTGTGACCTAGAATTATCTTGCAAAACAGGTGTTTGGAGAACATTGGTCTTCCATGAAATTTAGGTTAAGAAACACTTCCCTTATGAGGCCTCTGCGAAATTCAGAAGCTGAAGGGTAGCACACAAATGGGAGCAATATTCCCCTTACGGACTTTTTGCTGAAAAAAAGAAAAAAAATGAACTGATGGTTTATGAAAGGGTAGATTATGGAAAGAAGGAATGTTTGATGTAACCTTAGAGAGAGAGGGTAAAATATAAACTAACGGCTGCTAAAAAGACCGGAAGCCACTTTATTATTCTTCCTTCTTTTTCCTTCCTTTCTACTTCTTCTTCTATATTTCTTTTTCACTTTTCTATTACTTTTCTCCACTTCTCGTATCTTTAATTCAAAATTTGTATTGTTTTTACTCTGTGGAAAAACTGCTTTAATAATAATTGTATAAAAAAAAGAGAGGAGAGGAGAGGAGAGGAGAGGAGAGGAGAGGAGAGGAGAGGAGAGGAGAGGAAAGGAGAGGAGAGG